GGACCAGACCCCCCCCCAAAAAAAAAGAAGGAGGGAGGTTCAAGGCTAGCCCAGGCAAAAAGTTAGCAAGATTTCTTCTAACGAAGAATCCAAGCACGGTGCTGCAGACCTGTCCTCCCAGCTCTGCTGGAGGCGGAGGCAGGAGGCTGGAGGTTCACTGACAGTACACACACGCACCCACACACACGCACGCACACACACACACACCCCCACACACACACACACACCAGTGAACACAAAGACCTCTATGGAGCCACAAGTGTCAAGAAATACCCACCAGAAGCTGGAGAGAGTGGAAAAGCACCTCCCACACCCTGGCCCACTGGTGCCTGTGGAGGGGGCCTCTAGAATCTTCTATGCTAGAGAATAAACTAAGATACTCACATCCTGAAGGGGCAAGATCTTCCTTCCTTCATTTTTTTGGTTTGTCTTGGTCAGTCAGAACTCAGGGCCTTGGGTGCTGTCCTGTATCTTCACTGCTCAAGGCTAGTGCTCTTTGAGCTCTACCACTTTGAGCCACAGCACCACTTCCAGTTTTCTGGTGTTTCATTGGAGATAAGAATCTCACGGTCTTTTCTGCTGGGCTGGCTTTGAACCACAATCCTCAGATCTCAGCCTCCTGAGTAGCTAGGATGACAGGCGTGAGCCACTGACTTCCGACTAAGATTCATTGTAAGCCAGTTACAGCCAACAGATCCTTCCCACCCCACAGAAATAGCAACCAGACACAAACACAAGGACAATGTGCCTGTATGTTTAGAATTTTCTAGTAGCCACCTTAAAATAAAAAACTATTAAAAACAGGTGAGGTCATAGAGTGGTGACTCACACCTGTAATCCCAGCTACTTGGGAGATGGAATCGGGTTGGCCTGAGACCCTATCTAATAAAAACAAAAATAAGGAGGACTTTAGGAGTGACTTCAGTGATAGAGCACCTGCCTGGCAAACCCAAGGCCCTGAGTTCAAATCCCTGTACCTACATAATACACACACACACACACAAAGGTCATCTTAATAACATCTTACTTAATCCAATATAAATACAATATTACCATTTTGGTTAAGAATCAATATAAAATGTTACTAAGTAATATTGGACACCCACAGCTCACACCTGTAATCCCAGCTGAGATCCAGAGGACCATGGTTCAAAGACAAAAGACTCCATTTCCAATTAGCCAGGAAAACTCCAGGCTGGCAGTGCGGCTAGATGGTAGAGCACTAGCCCTGAGCAAGAAAGCTGAAAATCTTTACCATCAAGTAGTAAATGGCCCCCGGCTCTTTCCCTGCCTGGTCTTCGCTCCAGTCCTGGGCCCCAAGGCCTTCACAGACCTCTGCCCCACAGTCTGCCTCCCATGATGCTGCGGGCTCTCTATGGGGTTTTCCTGTTGCTGAGTCTTGTTTGTTTCATTTTTGGTCAGCACTGGGGTTGAACTTCGGGCTTTGTGCTTGCTAGGCCAGCATTCTACCACATTAGCTGCAGCCTAACCTTTGTGCTTGGGTATTTTTCACATAGGGGCTTGCATTTTATGCCTGGACATCCAGCCTCCTATCTCTGCCTCCTGAGTGCCCAGAATAACTGATACTTACCACTGTGCCCAGCCTCTCTCCTCTTTCCCACCTCTCTCTATTGCTTTTCTCTTCTCTCTCTCTCCCTTCATCCCTCTCTCTCTCTCCTTCTCTCTCTCCTTCCCCCCTCTCTCCTAAGCTGACCTTGACCTCAAGACCTGCTTCTGCCTGCTGAGTGCTGGGATTACAGGTATGAGCTACCATACTCACATTCACAAGAACATTTTTGTTGTTGTTGCTGGCCATGAGGCTTGAACTCAGGACCTGGGCACTGTCTCTGTGCTTTTATTGTTCAAGGCTGTCACCCTACCACTTGAGCCACAGCTCCACTTCCAGCTTTTTGGTGGTTAACTGGAGTTAAGAATCTCATAGACTTTCCTTCTCCAAGCTGGCTTTGAACCTCCATCCTTCATCTCAGCCTCCTGATGGGGACATCCTTAAAATGCACCCCCCCACACACATGCACGCGCGCGCGCACACACACACACACACGCACAAATGTCGCTCCAGTGTCAACAAAGGCAAATCTATCTCACTCGGCCCTACTGAACCCCCCCACTGAACCGCTTTCCAGAAAGTTCTGTCTCGTAAATAAATGAGACTCAAAATGGTCCATATGGGGATGTAATGTTGTTAAAATCGCTGATTGAGTTTTACACAACCCTGTGAGAGCAAAACGCGAAGGCTTCAGCGTTTTAATTTAGGAGAAGTGGAATATGATATAATTTCAATTTGTGAGGAGGTGAGGTGTTCTGGATATTGCGGTTTCAATTGGGTTACGTGGGAGGAGGTGCCCTTCAATCTCTCCCTTTTCATCTGCTTCCAGCCCATCTGGGAAACCTTGTTAGCACAGAACCCCAAACTCCAACCCTGGGGCTGCAGGGCTCAGATTCCCCTGTATGGACCAAGGACAGGCAGATCAATGGGCTCCTGGCACCTGCCACAGCCTCCACTGCAAAGGTTGGCACCGTGAGTCACACCTGTAATCCCAGCTACTTCAGAGGTGGAGATCAGGAGGATCATGATTCCTTACCCACTGGGCCACAAGTCTGTGAGATTCCTATCTCCAGTAATATAAAGCTGAGTGTGTGGCACACACCTTTCATCCCAGCTACACAGGAAAAATAAATAGAAGGGTTCTGCTCAAGGCCAGCCCAGGCATAGATGTGAGACCCTGTTAAAAAAGTTAAAACAAAAAGCTTGCTGGGCACAGATGGCTCACATCTGTAATCCTAGCTACTCAGGAGACAGATGTAAGGATGGAGGTTCAAAGCCAGCCCGGTCAGGAAAGTCCATGAGACTCTTATCTCCAATTAACTACCAACAAGCCAGAAGTGGAGCTGTGGCGCAAGTAGTATACTATAGCACAAAAGCTCAGGAACAGTGCTCAGACCCTGAGTTCAAGCCCCAAACAGAAATAATTTTTTAAAAAGCAAAAAGGTCTGGAGGTGTGACTCAAATGGTAGAGTACCCGCCTAGCAAGCAAAAGGGCCAGAGTTTAAACTTTAGTATAGAAAGAAAGAGAAAGAGAGAGAGAGAGAGAGAGAGAGAGAGAGGAGGGAGGGAGGGAGGGAGGAAAGAAGGAAGGAAGGAAGGTTGGTTTGCATTTGGGTGTAGGGGAGGGAAGCCCGCAGGGTGAGAGGCAAAGGCACCCGAGCTGCAGTGAATAGGGCATTGGGAGCCCACATAGCTCCAACCCTCCACAAGCTCCAGCAGGAAGATGCAGACACCAGAAGGGCTGGGTGTGCAGGGGTGAGAGGAGGAGGGCCGCACCCCTGCCCCCAGGTGCCAGCCAGCCCTGGCCATGCCAGCGAGCAACTGGCCATGACTGCCCAGAATTCACAACCACCAGCCAAGGTGCCCCAGGTAGCTCCTCCCCCTTGGGTGTGGCCACGCCCAGGTGGGGCCAGGTGTTTAGTGCGGGCAGGACCTGGCCCTAGGGGACACAGAAGTCACAGCGCCCACCAGCCTGCATGCTCTACGCTCCTGGAGCACAGGAAGGAGGGAGGACACCCGAGACCCCCCCCCCAGGTCCAACTCCCGCTGGGGCGCAGGCCTGTGGCCCATGGGTGGGGCCCAGGACTGGTTTGCTTCCCAGTCCCTGGTGGGCCACCCCAGTGACCCCACAGACCTGGCCAGCAGCTGGCCAGCTCTCCAGCCAGCGCTTCACTCCTGGTCACCTCCTTCAGCCACGCAGCATGGCCGGGGCCCTGGCACACAGGTGTCTGTCAGTCTGTTCCCACTGAGAGTCTGGGACCTGCCATAACCTCCTCCCACCAGGGGCTCCCCAGAGACACAGGCCGGGAGCCTGGGGGTCAGCTCCCAGCCTCCACCTTCATCTAAAATCAGGGAGTCTGGCTACCTCTCTGAGCCTCAGTTTCCTTATCTATAAAATGGAACTGGGGACGGGGGGGGGGGGGGGGGGGAGTCAGTGAGCTGCTGCGTGGCACTCTGCCGCCCCCTGGTGTCCCTGCATCCTCACTGCCACAAGTCCCCATGGTGGCTTAACTCCCAGGTGACAGGGTCTGGGGGGACTCACAGCTCAGCTGCAGGGAGAGGAAGATCTGCTTAGCCCCCCCCCTCCTGGCTTTAGCGGGTTGTGTGTGCCAGTACCAGGGTATGAACTCAGGGCTTTGTGCTTGTTCAACAGGTACATTACTGTTTGAGTCATGCCTCCAGTCCAGCTTTTAGCCAGCTAATTAGAGATCCGAGTCTGTCACAGCCCTGGAACCCAGTTTTGTATTTTGTTGTTGTTGGTGGTGGTGGTGGTCTGGGTCTTGAACTCAGGGCCTGGGCGTTGTCTCTGAGCTCTTCAGCTGGAGGCCAACATTCTACCACAGTGCCATTTCTGATTTGCTGGTGGTTAATTGGAGATAGGAGGCTCACAAACATTTCCTGCCCGTGCTGCCTTTGAACCGCAATCATCAGATCTCAGCCTCCTAAGTAGCTAGGACTACAGGCGTGAGCCACCAGCACCAGGCCCAGTTTTGCATTCTTAACACACAGCAGCCCCAGGACTCTGCTCAGAGCTGCCCATCACCCAGTGCCTAAGGAACAAGGCCATGCACTGCCCAGCGGGCCCACAGACCCCATGTGGCAGCCATGGTCTTCCAGTAACCTCTTCAGGACAACCACAGCCATCCCTGGCCACCGAGGCATCACGATCTGAATCTCAAGCTCCCCAGGAACTGTAGGGCCCACACAGTGCCCACCCCATCCACCCCATTCCCCTAGGGGTGTGAGCATCCACCCCATCCCTATAGCCAGGAAGCAACTAAATGGCCCTCCTCTGTGAGTCAGGCCTGGCCCAGGGAGGACCAGTGCCTTCCCAAGGCCCCTGGGCACATGAAACGCTGGCAGGGACTTCGAGCCAGGCGCCAGCCATCTGGCACACACAGGCAAACACGGACGCAAGCAGGAGGCCCGCGCTGGAGGCCATGGTCAGCGTCTTTATTAAGGCCATGAGGAGCCTGGAGAGGAAGGCAAGGCCGCTCCAGGGCCACACACCAGCTCTGTCATGCCCCTGAGGGCCATGGCCAGGGTAGGGGGCCAGTGAGGGTCCTGCCCTCCTTCCTGCCCCCACCCCCAAGCCAGTAGCTCACTAGGCACACGTGCCTTTGTTCTTGGAAGACCAGATTTTGGACAAGCGGAACTTGGATTTCTTCCGCTGGAGGTCTGAGGGGAGGAAAGGAAAATGAGGCTTCACTGGACCACACAGGTCCCTGATGGGTGCACCCCACCACCTTTAAGAGCCTCCTGGACCCCCACGAAGCCAGGGACCCAGAGAAGCACTGACTTCATGCACCCCACCCACAGAGCAGCTCCCCAGCCCAGCCAAGCACCAGCGGAAAATAAATTCAGCCTCCCCACCCCCACCCTACTGCAGCCAGAGGCCCCTAAGACAAGGCCTGTCCTGGGTCCTAACTCCCCCTCCCCACTCCCACAGGAGTCCCTTCCCAGCTCAGCCAGCATGTCCCCCCCGCCCCCCATGGCCTGGCATCAGCACTACCTAGGTTCTCAATCATGTTCTGTAGCACCAGGTCCTCTTCTTGCTCCCTGCAATGAACATTGTTGGGGTGGGGGAGAGGAGCCATGAGGCACACGTCCCAGACCAGGGCTCCCAGCCTAGGACATGGCTGCCCTCCAGCCCCCTCACCACATGGCCTGGCCACACCCGGCACTTGGGACCCCAAGCTGGTCAGGACCAAGGCAGCGGGGAGCAGCCCAGAGGACCAGCTGAGGCTGGTGGCCCAGACATGGCTGACAGCACAATGGCCCGGGACCGTCCAGAGCGGTTCCCCAGTGCTGCCACACACCTTCCTGTTCAAAATGGAGTATGTCATCCGGCCCTGGTGGCTCATGCCTGTAATCCCAACAACTCAGGAGGAAACTGAGATCTGAGGGTCGTGACTCAAAGTCAGCCCAGGCAGGAAAGTCCATGAGACTCTTATATCCGATGAACCACCAAAACACAAGAAGTGGAACTGTGGTCCAAGTGGTAGAGCACTAGCTTTGAGCAAAGAAGCACAGGGACAATGCCCAGGCTTTCACAAAATAAATACATGTATTTATTTACTACGTGTTTATTTATTGCCAATCCTGGGGCTTGAACTCAGGGGCTGGGCACCGTCGCTAAGCTTTGTTCATAAGCTACAGCTCTACCATTTGAACAACAGCTCCACTCCGGCTTTTTCTGAGTAATTTATTGACAATAAAAGTCTCACACACTCTGGAATGGCTTCAAACTGCCAGATCTCAGTCTCACGAGTAGCTAGGATGACAGCTGTGAGCCACTGGCACCTGGCTAATTTTTAAAACTTTTTAGTTATAATTTTTATTTGTCCTCAGCCTTGGGGGACCTGCCCGAACCCACCCTCCTCTGGTGAGTGAGCCAGGATGGCTGCTGAGGGCCCGGTGGCTGCACCCCCGCCCAGGACACAGTTACCTTGGGCTCAGCCTCCCCCCACAGCCCCACCCCAGGCCAGCCCCGCCCTCACCCTCACCTGAGTCTGTCCTCGTCCAGGAAGTCCACAATGTCGCTGCGGTCATTCACAGTGCTCACGTACTGGCTCAGCAGCTCCTGCTCCCGCTGCCGGTCCTGGGGTGACTTGAGACCCTCTGTGGGGACAGCCAGCCATTCAGGGGAGCCATGCCATCAGGAGCGCCAAGTCGCCACTGCCCAGTACCAGCTCCCCCACTTCAAGGGAGAGTGGGGCACTGGCACCTGTGCTTGGCAGGGTGGCCTGGACAGGGGGAGCAACCAGCCCCCCTCAGTGTGCATATCGGGGCCTCTCCCAAATTGAGGCTGGGACCCCATCTTGCCAAAAGAGTGGGACTTCCACCTGCTCCTTTCTACTTCCTCTTACGCACTAATTCCCTGACCCAGCCAGCTAGCTGAGAGGGCACAGAGGTTAAGAGACTTGGCTAAGGACACACGGCCAGGGAATGGAAGAGCTAAATCTCCAAGATTTACCCAGGCAGAGCCCGGGGAAGCTAGCACCACCCAGCCACCCCCGGAGCTGAGCCGCCTCCACGCTGGTCCAGGCCCGGCCTTTCCTCTCTCAGGCTGAGCTTCCTGGTGAGCAAGGACTGGGATGTACCAGGCTTGGCCATCAGCCGGCGCAGCTCGCCCTCCAGGTCCAGCTGCCGTTCCTCCAGGCTCTGGTCCTTGGACCTGTGGGATACTCAGGTGTGAGACAGGCTGTATAATGGCTGCTTCCCGCACCCAGGACCTGGGGCCCCCTCATGCCCCGGCCTTCCTGCAGGGCCTCACTTGTACATCAGCTCAGACTCCAGCCTCAGAAGCAGCTGCTTCTCATGGATGAGCCGGAACCAGTCCACCATGAGACTGTCCTCCGCTGCATCTGTGGAGAGGAGAGGAGAGGCTGGAGTCCTTCTGCTCCAGTGCCCAGCTGGAGGGCAGGGGTGCAGGCCTAGGCCATGGTTGAAGTCTGCAACAGGACCACGCAGCCAGCCTATGGCTAGCAGAGCCGTAGGGGCGTGGTCAGTTAGCTGTGGGTGTGGCCTTCACACTGTATGGGTGTGGTAGGCTGTGCCAACCTACTGTGGGAGTGGTCAGACTGTGGTAGGAAGGCAGCCAGCCTACAGTGGGCATGGTTGGACCGTGGTGGGGGCGTGGCCAGTCTACTAGTGTGGTGGGCCTGCGGAGGGGGCGTGGCCAACCTGTCACTCACCCCCTTCTGCCGCCCTCAGACGCTTCTCCAGCTCCACGCCCCTGAGCTCCAGTGCATCCAGCTGTCTCTCAATGTCCTGCATCTGCCTCTGGATCTCCTCCTGGGGGATGTAGTCGGGATGCAGCTGGGAGGAGGCAAAGGGCAGTGAGGACCAGCACACAGCTGAAGTCCAGCCACCCGCCACAGCCCACCTACTCACCCTGATGGGGGAAGTCACTGTCTCAGCAGGCGGAGCAGGGGTGCTAACCAGGCCCGAGGGCCTCCCTGGAGGAGAGGGATGAACTGCTGGGGCTCAGGGGGACTGGGAGACCCGCAAGTGCCCTGGAAGGGGTTGGACCCAGGATGCTGGGTCCACCCAATGTCCAGCATGCCACCGGCTGCCTTCCCCAGCCACAGGCACTTGGGCAGCCCCATTAGTTTGGGGGGGGGCAAATTAGTTTGGGCAGATCCTAGCCTGCCCTGGCCCTGCCTTCCCCCTGGACAGCACGTACAAATACACTCCCTCCAACATCTCTGGCTGACTCAGGCTACCAGCAAGGACCCTCCACTGTCACAAGGCCTCTGTGACAATGGAACCAGGGGGCTCTCCCTTTTCATGAGAAAAGTTGGAGTCCTGCAGCCTTTCCTCTTTCTTCCAGACCCATCATCTGGCAAAACCAGAGACACCTCCTCATCCATGGAAGCCTTCATCCTCACCCCAAGCAGACGCGCCTCTCTGGGGCACGCTCTGAGAATGCTGCTTCTCCTTTGAGCTCTGCGCATGCTCTTCCTGCCTTGAAGGTTCTGGCTGAAGCCAGTCTGCAGAAACATCGAGGGTGGCAGGGATGGCCAGTCTCCTGCGGTGGGCTGGGGACGGGGAGGCGGCTGCCAGCAAGCAGGTGGGAGACAGAGCCATGAGTCAGACCAGAGCCTGGCCCTGAGCATCAGGACCCATTGGCACCCAGGCTCTGTCCCAGGATGGCTGGCATAGCCACATTCTGTGCATACACTGACAGAGGACCAAGGTGGGACCGTGTCCACACTGCCATTCTACCCGGCGAGGGCACGGGCCTGTGACGTCAAGGGGCAGTCATGTGAGAGGTGAACCCACAGGAAGGACAATCATGAGTGCTGGGATCCAGCATCCACGATACACGTGCACAGGCATGAGCCACCCAGAGCCTGGGACATGTACCCATGACTGGCCATCCCGTGCACAAGGTGCCCCATCTGACCATGTGCATGTGTGTGGTGTTGGTCTCTGCCCTTCCCCCACCCCCAGGAGCATACAGCACCCACACTGCCCTCCTCCCCCTCCGTGACACATTACCTGCAAGGCTGGGCCCAGGTCTAGCTGGGCCCTGCGTCTTCGCAGGCCACACAGGGGTCAGCGTGATTTGGACTCCCCGGTCAGAGCTTCCCGACGCTTTCCTGGGGGTATCCCCTGCCCTGGGCGCTGCCAAGATCTGTGGCTCTCTCGGCTCCCGCAGCTCCAGAGTCCTGATCAGAAGGTGTCAGGTCAGCCCTGGCCCCGGGTAGGGGCCACTGGAGCTTGGTTTAAAAAAAAAAAAACTGTAGAAGCCAGACGTAGGTGGCTCACACCTGTAATCCTAGCTACTCAGGAGCTGAGATCTGAGAATCACAGTTCAAAGCTCGCCCGGGTAAGAAAGTCCATGACACTCTTATCTCCAATAAACCACCATAAACCCAGAAGTGGTGCTGTGGTTCAAGTGGTAGAGTGCTCGCCTTGAGCTGAAGAGCTGAGGGACAGCGCCCAGGCCCAGAGTTCAAGCCCCATGACCGACAAAAACAAAGCTGCGGCTAGAGGGAAGGCAGGTGGCGCCTGCGTCCTAGTTCAAGGGCGCGCAGGCGTGCTGACCCCTGGCCTGCTTACCCAGGACCCTGCCTGCAGTACCTAAGGGCATGCTCAGGGCCCTGTGACCAGCCCAGGCCTCCAGGGTTCAGGTGATGGCAGGCTCCGTGCATGGTGACGGCCTGCTGCCTAACAGTCCAGTGCTGGCCCTGTGACCCTCAGCTTCTGGGCACCATCCCCGTCCCCCCACTGGTGTTGGCAGGTGTCACCTGCTGGGCACAGCCTCCCAGGACACTCAGACGAGGACTCGGCTCTGCTGCGGATATCTACACAGTATGCTCACTACTCAGGAGGCTGACATTAGAGGACTGGATTGGGGTTCAAAGCCAACCTAGACAAGAAAGTCCTTGAGACTCTTAACTACCAAAAAGTGCCAGTAGTGGAACTGTGACCCAAGTGGCAGAGTGCCAGCCTTGAGTGAAAAAGCGCAGGGATGGTGTCCAGGCCCTGAATCCAAGCCCTACAACTGGCCCAAAGAAAAACAAGAATGAGCCCAAGCTGGGTGTCAGTGGCTCACACCTGTAATCCTAGCTACTCAGGAGGCTGAGATCTGAGGATCATGGTTCAAAGCCAGCCTGGGCAGGAACAGCTATGAGACTCATCTCCACTCAACCACCAGAAGCCGGAAGTGGTGCTGTGGCTCAAGTGGTAGAGTGCCAGCCTTGAGCTGAAGAGCTGAGGGACAGCACCCGGGCCCAGAGTTCAAGCTCACAAATAACCAAAAAAAAAAAAAAAAAAGCCCACTTGCTCCCTCCATACAGGCATTTCCTAAGCGCCAACTGTATGCCAGGCCTCGGGCCGTCTCTGCTCACATCGAAGACCCTCAGACGCAGGTAGGGGTCAGCGAGGGGAGCAGAGCAGAGCCACCCCACCCCACCTCACCTTCCGGCAGGGTTCTTCCGGTCCACCGGCTTCAGGAGAGCTCTCCAGCCTTCCGGCCCTTCCTTGCTTTCCTGGGGAGCAGCATCTGGGCCTTGGCAGGGGAGAGAGGGTATGGAGGTGTCCAGGTTAGCCTCAGCTGCCCACTGAGTGGCCCCAGCATGCTGAGAAGCTCAGGCAGGGCCTGCCCCGAGCTGTGTGTCCCTGGGGCTACTGCTTCCCATCTCTGTGCCTCAACTCTGCCTCTGCCAAATGGGTGGCAGGCTGCCCTGGGGACTGATCCTTGGTCCCACGGGATGACCATCCAGTCTGTCCTGAGCTCAGCCTGATGGCACCATCTGCCCAGCTGAGGGTCACCACAGACGCCAAGAGAAAAGCCCCCATCTCCAGGCTTGAGATGCCCTAAGATAGGAATGCAGGGTCCAGGGATCCTCCAGGAAGAGCCAGCAAAATGGCCACAGACTCTAGACCCGGGCAGGGCCATCGTTGAGTGTGGACAGGCCCTCTTCTGTCTGCACACCCAGGGCAGAGCTGGCCTGGGGACTCAGCTATGGACAGAAGCTACCAGGGTCCTGAACTACAGAAACCCACCACCACCAAAGAGTGATCTCGGGGGACACAGCCCCGGGGGGGGGCCTGGCCCAGGAGCCACCAGTGACAGATCCCGGGGAACCCTGTGCCCCATCCCCCTCACTACCCCACATCAGCAGGCTCTTACCCTTCACCCTGGGGGCCTCTGGCTTCAGCCTGGAACCTGCACTGACACCGCTGGCCACTGAAGGCACAGCTGGCCTCCTCCCCTTGGCCTGGGGTGATGTGGGAGCCTGGGCAGGGCTGCCCACACTCAAGGGGGGCCGAAGCGGCTCTGTCCTTAGCTTGGGGCTGGGGGCCTGGGGAGTCCCAGAATGTGACTGCTTGGCTGAGGAAACTGCTTGAGGCTCTTCGGTTTTGAGATGGGAATTTGAGGTAGAGGAACTGGCTGAGCAGGGCCTGTGGGCAAGAGATCCAGCTTCAGGCATGTGAGGATCCAGGAGCCCCCTCCCAGCATTGTCCACAGTCCCCCTCTCCCCCTGCAGGCAGAAGTCCCAGGGCCTCTGCATGAAGCTAGCTGGTTGTACAAAAAAGCTGAAGGAGCACTGAGGCCAAGCCTCAGAATCATCACAAAAACTAAAAATAAAGGTACCAGTGGTTCACACCTATAATCCTACTCAGGAGGCTGAGATCTGAGGATTGGGGTTTGAAGCCAGCTCGGGCAGGAAAGCTCTTATCTCCAATTAACCACCCAAAAGCCAGAAGTGGAGCTCAAGTGGCTCAAGGGGTAGAGTGCCAACCTAGAGTGAAAAAGCTCAGGGACGGTGTCCAGGCCCTGAGTTCATGCTCTAAGACTGGCACAAAATATATAATAATCGTAATCATAATAACATGAGGATGGAGACCAGAACCTGGAGCTCCTAGCAGCGGGGAGAGGCAGGAGGGACCCTCCCCTAAAGTCCCAGGAGGGGCTCCAGCTGGCCACACTATGGTCTCCAGAGCTAGAGGACACATTGCTCCTGACCATTCACAGTGGTCTCCACCAGTGGCATGGGTGCATCTGGCTGTACCCTGGCCCCTTTTCTACCCACCTGCTGGGCACTTGGGTGCCTGCATCCCCCAACCCAGGCAGCGCCTTGCGGAGAACACTCAGAGCATGCGCCCTGCTGCTGTCCGTGGCAGGCGTGGGGCTCCTGCCGGTGGGGCCACTGCTGGGCGGGGATGGCGTCTGGAGAAACTTCTCTCGGGCCTGCTGAGTCCTGGAGGCTGAGGGCGTCCACAGCGCCGTGCCTGGAGATGGTGCGCTTGAACTGGGCATGCCTCGGGGAGCTGCCTGGCCTTGGGGTGTGGCTGGCCGACTGTGCGGGGCACTTGGGGACACAGCAGGACGGGCGGTAACAGCTGCCGTGCCCTGAGCAGGAGACGACCACCCCATCGGGGAGCTGTTGGTCACCCGTGAGTGGCCTGTGGCACCCACACAGGGGACCGCAGGGCTGGGGGACAGCCTGGGCCCCCCGGGGCTCCCCGTGGAGGCATGGGAGGAGGGGCTGGCTGGAGGGTTAGGTGTACCCCGGGTGAAACTTTTAGCCTCTGTGCTGTTGGCTACGGGCTTGTGAACCGCTGGGCCTGTGCTGGGTGCTGGGGCCCTCAGTCCGTTCAGGTCCCGGGCCTTCTGCGGGGTGCTGGGGGAGCGGGACGTGGCAGGGAGGGCCCCTGGTGGTCTGGAAGTCAATCCTGGCAATTTTGGGGTGGAAGAGGAGGCTCCTGGGTGGTGGTTGGTGCAGACGAAAACCCCGGGCTCCGCTGTAGCCCGGTAGGCCCCTGAGTGCAACGTGTTGGAGCATTGCTTACACCTGGGGAGGCATCAGAGGGGCTCAGCGCCTGTCCCTCGTGGCCTAATTCATCCACCCACTTGCTCATTTATTCCAGCTCATTCATCCATCCAAGTCCACCTGCATCCATCCTGTGATTCATGATTGATTCAACAAACTCCACCCAGGGCTATAATCCCTGAGCCCTACCAAGAACACCCCAAAGCCCCCACGGAGGGGACAAATCCACCCTCCAAGCATCCTGGACTTCTTTCAGAAGCCCCTATCTGGGAAGCTGTAGGGTGTACCAGGCTGAGGCAGAAAAGGGGATCTATCTGGCCAGTGTGACTGGAACCCAGCGAAAGGTCCCCGAGGGCCTGGGGGGGGAGACAGCAGGACACAGAGGGTCCAGAGGAAGGACAGGGGCTGGGCCAGAGGACACGGGAGGCTGAGGAGGCCTGCATCAGGAAGGTGCAGGCCTAGGTGAGCGGCCAGGCCCTACCTGAAGCAGCCCCGGTGGTAAAGCCGCCCATCGGCAAGGTGTCGCTGGACGAGGTGCACGTGTTTGCCACAGATGCCACACGAGCTGCTGACCGAGCTGCCCGGCCCTGCCAGACCCTATAAGGAAGAACCAGGGGCTTCTGAAGGCTGCTGGCCTTCTTCAGGCCTCACTCCTTCCAGGTCCATCTATCCCTTGGAGGCCCCTGTGGGTGGGCTGGGCTCCAAGCACAGGGCCTCCAGCCTGAGTGGGACCCCAACTTTAGCGGGGTCCTAGGGAGAGAGGATGGGAAGCCAGAGACAGATCCAAGGTTCAGACACCCATAGGGACCCCACCCCCCACCCCCACCCCCAGCCCTACACAGTGGTTCCTTGGAGCCTAGAATAACTAGCCATGGCCAGCAGGGGGCACCCGAGCACATGCTGCTGACCCTCCAGTCCCCCCTGCCAACCCCATGCAAGGAACCGAGTCCCATTCACGCTGCAGAACTGGCCTGGGAACAAAGCCCAAGGCTCCCTCCTGTCCTGGGGAGGGAAACAAGACCTGCTGTGAGCCCCAGAAAGTCTGGCTTTGTTCCACCCACACGACTGTCCCATACCTCAGTTTACCCATCTGGGTAATGGGAGCTACCTGCCTTGTAGTACCTGCCTTGTTTATCCAATCCCAGAGGGTATTGGATAAACAGCACTCAGGGCATGCACTGTGGCCTCAGGGCTACAGCCTGGCCCTGTAGTTTAGGGCTGCGCACAACCCTGTAACTCCCATTCAGCAAAGGCCCCTGAGAAACCAAGAAATCACACACAGGTGGGCTGAGGGCTTACAGCCTTCAGGGCGGGGTCCTCTGAGCCCCCGTCTTTCCTCTGGACCACGGAGTTTGTCCTGGCAGGAGATAGCGGTGGCCGCTGAGCCGGGGCGGGCGAGGGCAGCGTGGGGGGCTGAGATGGGGCTTTCTTGCCACGAGGTTCCTCGGTGGAGTCTGACGGAGGTCTCTTCACACCAGCCATGCCCCCAACTAATTAATACAGGGCATCCAGAGGTCAGGAGGGCCCTGCCTGGTCCATACCCACTCTGAAAGGGGTTGGGATTCCCCCCCTGGGCTCCTGGTGCCCAGAAAGGAGGTCACCAGCTTCCTGGGGTATTTGCTGGGGGGTGCAGGGCCAGGAGGGACCGAAGGGCACATATTTCCCAGCACTGCCCCTCATTTTTTTCTGGCTCCAACTCACTGAGACCCCTGCATCCTGGGTCAGGGAAAAGGGATTTTTCTGTTCCAGGCAGGGCTGGCCCTCTGCCCGGGTGATTCCAGAGATTTCTAAGGCCCAGAGAGGAATGTGGGGCTGGAGGCGAGTAGCCACATCACGCCCAGGGTGGAAAAAGGCCTGGGCCTGCCCGCCCCTGCCCAGGGCTGTCTGCCCATGCCCGCCTCTGCCTGGGCCACCCATCCTGGCACAGAGGCTGGACATGGATCCTGAGGGCCACCAGGCTACAGCACAGCGAGCCCTGGGGAGACCCAGCTGGGTAGGGCAGGACTTACTGGGGGAGCGACCGTGGAAGTAGTTGTAGTACTGAGACACGTAGGTCAGGATGCTGAGCCTGTCCGGCACCTTCAAAGCCACCATGTCCTCAGCGTCCAGCAAGGCCGGGATGCCCAGCTGCTCCTCAGCCACGCTGAAGGCCTGGGAAGGCGCCAGAGGTAGGGGGAACAGGATGGGGCTTCCTTCAACTCCCCCTTTATACCTATCTGTACTGGGAATCAAAATTTCCAGCAGGCAAGACAGTTCCCAGCCCCTGCCCATGTGACCATGGACATGATGAGCCACTCCACACTCGGGCTGACACCAAACCACCCCGTGGCAGCTGGCCACCCACATAGCCAACACCTGCCCGGATGTTCATTCAGCCTCATGTGCTCAGAAGGAACACAAATGCCTCCTGTGTCCTGAGAGCCCTCACCATGGCAGAGAGGGCCTGGGAGGCTGCTATGAGACCTGATGCCCTGGGCTGCAGAGGGTCAGGAAGCTGCACTTATACAGCACCAACTGCATACCCACACAGCACTGACTGCACACCCAAACAACACCGACTACACACCCACACAGCAGCTCAGGCCTAGCGTCCCCTCTTCCATCTCCCGCCTTGCCATTGACCTGTGGCCCAGCCTGGCCCTCTCCCAGCCCCCTCCACCCACTCCCAAGCCACAAGAGACTCCTGCTGTGCTGGCAGAGAGTTCTCATCTACAAGGGACAGTTGCCAAACCACCAAATATGGCCACAGAAAACCGCCCGAGCCTCCCAGGCTCAGGCCTCCACTGCCTCCTTCCCTCAGTGGCTATCCCAGGCTGCCTCCCTACACTCCATGTCCCACCTCCAACTGCCTGTGCAGCCCCTACATGCCTGCAAGCGGCAGCTCCCCGGCCTGCAGGCCCAATGGCCACACCAACCCAGAGGCCTCCCACCGCCACCGATCCTCCCCAGGGGCCCAGAAGCCGGCCCTTCCTGTGGCCAGCATGGTAGGCCGGATGTCCCTCAACCTCTATGCTCCTCGTCCCTGGGATTCCTCTCTTTAGGAGCCCTGAGGCTCCTGGCACACCCCACCCTGCCCTCCTAGGGCCCTGCCTCTGCCCCGATCCACCCACCCATGGCCTCCTTCTGATCCCAGGGCCTTTGCCCATCCCTGCCTAAGGTTGCTCAAGAGTCTTGGGAAAGCTCTCCCTGAGACCTGGCTGGCCCCACTCCCTTCTACCCTTCCCAGTCTTACTGATGTGTATCTCTTGAGCCTACTGCTTCAAGCATGGTTGAAATTGGTAGCTGCTGGCCACATGTGGCTCTAAGCCTTTGAAATGTGGCCTTTGAAATGTGGCCAGAGGAACTGGCTCTGGGTGTGTGTGTGTGTGTGTGTGTGTGTGTGTGTGTGTGTGTGTGTGTGTAATACAGCTTGAACTCAGGGCATAGGTACTGTCCTTTTGCCTCAAAGCTAACATTCTACCACTTGAACCACAGCTCCACTTACAGCTTTTTTCTGGTCAACTACAGGTAACAGTTTCAGGCTGGGAATGTGGCTTAGTGGTAGAGTGCTTGCCTAGCATACATGATGTCCTGGGTTCAATTCCTCAGTACCACATACACAGAAAAAGCCAGTGGTGCTGTGGCTCAAGTGGTAAAGTGCTAGCCTTGAGCAAAAGAAGCTCAAGGAGAGTACCCAGGCCCTAAGTTCAAGCCCCAAGACTGGCAAAGAGAGAGACAGAGACAGACAGAGAGGGAGAGAGATAACAGTCTCATGGATTTTCCTGTCCAGGCTGGCTTTGAACCTGGATCCTCAGATCTCAGCCTCCTAAATAGCTAGGATTACAGGCATGCACCACCATTGGTGGCTTGGAACTCAATTTTTTTATTTAATTTTATTTTTGTTGGTGGTGGAGACTAAACTCTGGGTCTGGGCGCTGTCTCTCAGCTCTTCAGCTCAAGGCTAGCACCCTACCACTTGAGCCACAGCGCCACTTCAGGCTTTTTTCCTGCTTATGTGGTGGTTAGGAATTAAACCCAGGGCCTCATGCATGCAAGGCAAGCGCTCCACCACCGAGCCAACTTCCCAGGCCCCGGAACTCAATTTTTTTTTTTTTTTTTTTGGTCATGGGCCTGAACTCTGGGCCTGGGCATTGTCCCTCAGCTCTTCAGCTCAAGGCTAGCACTCTACCACTTGAGCCACAGCGCCACTTCCGGTTTTCTGGTGCTTAATTGGAGATAAAAGTCTCTCAGCCTGCCGGGGCTAGCTCTGAACCGTGATCCTCAGATCTCAGCCTCCTGAGTAGCTAGGTACAGGCGTGAGCCACCGGCGCCCAGCTTCCAGAACTCAATTTTTAACAGGAATTTGCTGTTATTAAGTTGTGGAGCAAGCCCTGGCCAGGGAGGTTTGACAGATATCCACTGTCTCGGCCCTATCCTGGCAGGCCATGCGAGGGTCTGCGTGCCCCCCGACCTGTGAACTAGCACACGGGCTTTGCCTCCTGTGCTTGGACCATGAGGGAAGGTGGGAGCTCCAGAAAAACTGAGGCTGGCATGGAAGAGGTTCTCACAGCTGGGGCACAAAGAAAGAAGTTGGAATCCACAGGGCCAGAGATACTGGTCCTCAGGGAGCAGAGCAGCAGCCTGCCCAGTGCTGCATCTCCTACACCCTCCTGAGGCTGGGCTTAGCCAGGCCACTCAGGGCAAGAGGCTCCCCAGCCCAATCCTCACTGCCCCACAGACAGAGGGGACCTGGGGCTCCAAGCTTGCCAAGTGTGGTGGCTCATGCCTGCCATACCAGCTACTCAGAAGGCAGCGATGATGGTTCAAGGCCAATCTGAACAACAACAACAAAAAAAATAGACCCCAATCTCAAAAAATAACTATGGCGGTTCACACCTGCAATTCCAGCTACAAGGGAGATGAAGGTGGACCGATCACAGACCAAGGCTGGCCAGGGCAAAAGGATGAGATCCTATGTGAAAAACAAACACTAGCCAGGCGCTGGATGGCTCACACCTCGAATCCTCGCTACTCAGGAGGCTGAGAGCTGAGGATCATGGTTCAAAGTCAGCGCAGGCAGGAAAGTCTGTGAGACTCCAATTAACCACCAGAAAGATGGAAGTGGTGCTCAAAGTAGTAGAGCAGTAGCCTTGGGTGAAAAAGCCCAGGAGGGGCTGGGAAAGTGGCTCAGTGGTAGAGCGCTTGCCTTGCATACCTGAGGCCCTGGGTTCGATTCCTCAGCACCACAGAAGCAAAAAGAAAAAAGCCGGAAGTGGCACTGTGGCTCAAGTGGTAGAGCGCTAGCCTTGAGCTGAAGAGCTGAGGGACAGTGCCCAGGCCCAGAGTTCAGGCCCCACGACCAGACCCCCCCCCAAAAAAAAGAAAAAGCCCAGGAACAGCACCAAGGCCCTGAGTTCAAGCTCCAGAAACAACAAAAAATTAAAAAAAAAAAAAGAAAGGAAAAAGAGAAGAAGGAAGGAAGGAAGGCAGGTAGGGGAGGGGAGGGAGGGAAGGGAAGGGAAGGGCAGGCTAAAAGCAAAGCAAAAAGGACTGGGGATAGCCGGGTGCTGGTGGCTCTCACCTGTAATCCTAGCTACTCAGGAGGCTGAGATCTGAAGATCACAGTTCAAAGCCAGCCTGGGCAAGAAAGTCCGTGAGACTCTTATCTCTAACTAACCACCAGAAAAACGGAAGTGGTGTTGTAGCTTAAGTGGTAGAGCGCTCTCCTTGAGCTGAAGAGCTGAGGGACAGCGCCCAGGCCCAGAGTTCAAGCCCCATGGCCAACAAAAAAAAGGAACCTGGGATGTGGCTCAAGCAGTAAGGTACCTGCCTTCTAAACACAAGGTCCTGGGTTCAAATTCCAGTACAGAAAGAAGAAAGAAGGAAGAAGGAAAGAGGAGCAGGAGGAGCAGGAGAATTCTTCTAGAGTTAGCCAGCTGAGGCCTGGAGGTAGGACTGGGTTCCAGGGCAGGACTGAGATGGCCCACCCAGGGCTTGATGGCCCCTTGGGTGTGGCTGCAGGCCAGCTTTGTTGGCAGGGCTAGGAGGGCAGGACACTGTGGGTTTCAGGAAAGGGAGACTCACCAACTTGTTGTTGTCATAAATGTTTTCCTTCCGGAGGGCACTGAAATTTCTGGAAGATAAAACACAAGAGTCAAGCCGGGCGCTGGTGGCTCACGCCTGTAATCCTAGCTACTCAGGAGGCTGAGATCTGAGGATCTCGGTTCAAAGCCAGCCCGGGCAGGAAAGACCGTGAGACTCCTATCTCCAATAAACCACCAGAAAACCGGAAGTGGCGCTGTAGCTCAAGTGGGAGAGTGCTCGCCTTGAACTGAAGAGCTGAGGGACAGCGCCCAGGCCCAGAGTTCAGGCCCCACCACCGGACCAAAAAAAAAAAAAAAAACACAAGAGTCAGCAGGTGCTGGTGGCTCACACCTATCATCCCAGCTGCTCAGGAGGCTGAGATCTGAGGATCGCCAGTTCAAAGCCAACCTGGGCAGGAAAGTCTGTGAGACTCTTATCTCCAATGAACCAGCAAAAAGCTGGAAGTAGAACTGTGGCTCAAGTGGTAGAGCATCAGCCTTGGGCACAAAAGCTCAGGGACAGCACCCAGGTCCTGAGTTCAAGCCCCAGTACCAGCAAAATCATCAACAGCAAAATCTATGTATCCAAAGCAGAGAAGGCAGGGACTCGGGGTCCCCAGGGACATCTTGCCCCAGCGCTGCCCCCTGCCACCAGGAGGGGTACTGGGAATGAGATCTGGAGCCAGTTTGAAGAGGGCAAGTTGGCACCGAATAGTGATGCAGTCTAGAGCCCAGGCCCCCACCGCCTCCCCTGGCACAGACAGGCCATCATGGCTTTTGTAGCTCAACCTTCACCTCCAGGCTCAGGGAAGGCTGAGCTGTTTCCCACCAGAAGTGGCAGGAGACAGGCCCAGAAAGGTAGAGCCACCAGCCCTGGGTGGCCCAGCCAGCACACAGCTACCTTGAGGTTAAGGTCCCTCAGCCTCCTTGTTTCCTACCCATGGGCTAGGGCGACTCAGTACCGACTGGGGGAGGGGGTACCCTTCCAGGATCCTCAGTGTTGAATCCATTAGAGCTCCCCATCCATGGCCACATGGATACAGGCGTCCAGGAAGCCTCCCCACCGCCCCTACCCCACCCTCCACCCCCAACCAGCCTGGGTAGTGGGGTCTTCCTGAGAGGCCATGGGCGTATCTCTTCCCCAGCTGGGCCCTGAGCCCCAGGATACGGAACATGCCAGACACAGGCCCAGCATGACCTGCCCCAGACCCCGGCCGCCCACAGCCATGGCACACACGGGTGCCACCCTGGCCCCACAGTGAGAAAGCCACCAGCAGAGCCCTGCTCCCACAGCCAGGGAGCTCTGCCCTGACAGTGGACTGGATTGTTCTGGAAGCTTCCTGGCACAGAGGAGTGGGGTTGCAATCCTGGGCTGTGTCCTCCTTACCCAACCCCAGCGTGTGGCAGGCACTAAGCTCCGCTTCCCTCCCGATAGCCAAGGTTCCTTCTCTACAAGCCTGCCTGCCTTCCACTCCTTCCTTCTGTACTGGGGCTTGAACTCAGGGCCCCATGCTCTTGCTTAGCTTTCTTGTTCTGGTCGGTGCTCAACCGTTTGAACCATGCCTCCAGTTCAGCATTTTGCTGGCTGATTGGAGATGGGAGTCTTGGACTTTTTCTGCCCAGGCTGGCTCCAAATTGTAATCTTCCAGATCGCAGCATCCTGAGCAGCTAGGGTTACAGGCATGAGCCTGTCCTTTCTCTCTCTCTTCCTCTCCTTCCTTCCTTCCTTGCTCCCTCCCTCCCTCCCTCCCTCCTCCACACTGTCTCTGTCTCGCTCTCTTTGGTAGTACTAGGCCCTCCAGCATGCTAGGCAAGTGTTGTAACCCTGAGCCACGCCCCAACCTAGCGCTGCATTCTAGAACCAGGCCGGGCATGTCTCAAACAACAAGGGCAAAGGTGCTACCTATCTGCGTCCGCGCAGCCTGGCACGAGCTAGCTCCGAGTCCACACCACCAGCAGAGGCTAGGCCTCACTGGGCCCATCCCCCAGGAGGCCCCCCAGAGGCAGCACCAGAAGCCCACTTTCCAGGCAAGCAAACTGAGGCCGGCAGCCGGGGGCATCTGTGCGGCAGTCGGCCACCTCCCCCCTTAGGAATGTCCGCCGCCATCCGGCCATCCATCAGCTCTGCGTGCCAAGGGGACTCAGCACTTCCGGCTGCCATGACTACCTCCCAGGTAACACGTACCAGATGTGCGGACCACCCTGGAGCCAGGCGTCTGCACGGCCGCACGCACGCAGGCCTCTGTCCAGAGGCAGGGTGGCCCAAGCACAGCCAAGGGCCCGCGGTGGCCAGCCAGGGTCCAATACCCCCCCATGGTCCCTCTGAGCTCAGCTAGGGGTGTTGGGACCCCCTCTCCCCCACCCCTCCAAAAACACCAGCTCTCCCCCTCCCCACCGCCCGCCCTCTCCCTGGCCTCGGTGGCCGGCTGGGCAGGCAGGAAAACAAGTTCTGTTTTGTATCTAAACAAAGCAAAAAGGGGCCTGAGCCTGTTCCATCTGCCTCCATCCTCCCTGGGGGGCCTGGAAGACCATTCCCCCACCCCAGAGGGGGTGCCCCAGAACCTTCTGGAGTTCCCTCCCCCACAGCAGCACACTGAGCAGGGCGCTGGTACTCAGGCTGGGGATGAACGTTCCAGCCTCACACCAGCCAACAGAACAAGTCCAAGCTGCTCCCCTGGCCTCTGAGCCTCCACCGCGGGGCAGGACCACCCCGGCCCATCCTCAGCCACGCCACTCCTGCACCTGGCCCAGACTCAGGACCTGGCCCTGGCCGCAAGCTGTCCCCTGTGACCTGCACACTCTGTGCCGGCTCAGCCGGACTCTCTGGCCACGTCCTGCCCTCAGGACCGGAACTCAAGGTGTTCTCTCAAGTTGGGCCATTTGATTTGAATGTGAAGCATTAGGAAAGAAATCATGTGTGGTCAGGCATAGGAGCACATGTCTTTAGCGTCAGCCACTCCAACGGGAGAAGTAAGGCACTCGTAAGTTTGAGGCTAGTCCAGCCAAAAAGTTCATGAGATCTCATTCCAACCAATAAAAACTAAGTGCTGTAGGGTGCACCTGATATCCAGGCTACATGGAAATCATAAAGAAAAGGATTGTGGTTCAATGTGGAAAACAATTAAAGGAAAAAGAGCTGAGGATGCTGGGCACCAGTGGCTCCCGCCTGTGATCCCAACAACTCTGAGACCTGAGGATCACGGGAGCCTGCCCAAGCAGGAAAAGTCTGTCTTGGGGCTTTAAGTCTGGCCCTGGGCACTGTCCCTGAGCTCCTTTTGCTCAAGGCTAGCACTCCACCACTTAAGCCACAGCTCCAATTCTGGCCTTTTGTATGATTAATTGCAGATAAGAGTCTCAAGGACTTTCCAGCCACAGCTAGCTTTGAACCTCAATCCTCAGACCACAGCCTCCTGAATAGCTAAGAATACAGGCGTGAGCCATTGGCATCCAGCTTCAGAGACTCCTATCTCCAATTAACCAGCAAAAAAACAGAAGTGGAGCTGTGGCTGAAGTGGTAGAGCACCAGCTTGGAGCAAAAAAGCTAAGAAGCAATGCTCAGGCCTTGAGTTCAAGCCCCGGTAGTGGCACAAAAATAAGATGTGTTTACCTACTACTCCAGGGTTCCCAGCACAACATGGCTAGGTATACAGTTAGCATTCCATTTATGCTTGTTGAATTCATTCATTCAGTGTGTGTGTGTGTGTGTGTGTGTGTGTGTTACTGGGGACTGAATTTAGGCCCTTGCCTCCCTTTATTTGCTCATGGTTGGCACCCGAATGCTTAAGCCACACTCAAGAGTTGGAGTCTCATAGACTTTTCTGCCCTGGCCAGTCTTGAGCCTCAGTCCTCAGACCTTAGCCTCCTAAGTAGCTGGAATTATAGGCATCAGTCACCAACGTGCGTCTGGCTTATGCTTTTAATAGTAGCTTAATAAATAAATTGGTGGGGTCTAGAGGTGAGCGGTGCCATAGTTCACTGGCCAGCTGCCTGGCAATGCATGTCCAGCCAGGCCGCCACAGGCCCCTCTCTGCCTGCCTCCCGCCCACTATCCACCATGGAATGTGAACTTCAGCTGGGGAGGGAGCCAGCCTCTAGCCCTAGCACCCCTGGAGGCAGTGACCCTGGGCCCAGGCCAAACCTCCAGCTGGCTGGCTTATTTCCTGGAATACAGAAGGGAGGGGAGGAGGGAGCACTGGGCAGGGAAATCCCCAGCACATGGAGAGTTAACCCCACTAGGAAAAGAGAGCAGAGACAGCAAGACAAATGGCACAGGAATGAGGAGGGACAGGCGGGTGGGGGAAGATGGGACCCGGCAGGGCTGGGTCCCGGGGTGGGGGTGGGGGAACTAATGCCCAGACTGGCCACCCTGCCATCCTGGAAGGCCGACAGCAGAGGTCTGGGCAGCAGGCCCTCGGGCAAGGGAACAGAAGGCTTCTGTCCCCAGGCGGCTTCCTGCGGACCGCAGCCTGAGTAGGATGGGAGGTCAGAAGGGAGACGAGGCTGCCGCTTCTGGGGTTCCAGATGAGGGGCTCCCCATGTGATGTCCAACAGCAAGCTGAGTCATGGACCTGGAGCGTCCCGGGGGGGGGGGGGTGGCCCTGGCGATCAAAGCCTATCATCTCCACAGTCACCACTGCCTTCTGCCACTTCTGCCTGTAGTCCCCGCACAGGCCTCACAAGATGAAGGAGCCCAGAGAAAGTGCAAAGGACCCCACCAGAATCCACACAACACCGACTTCACTTGACAGCCTCCCCCTGCGGAGAGGGGGAGGGGGACCCCCCACACGTCTCGCAAATGGCCCCTACTTTGGTCTGCAGAGAGGGAGGCGGCAAGGCCCCCCTCTCTGCCTGCCGGAAGCGCTTCTGCCTCCAGCCCCGCTCCACCCCTGCCACAGCCCAGTCCAGCCCAGCCTGCCTGAGGTCCAGAGGAGAAGGGTAGGTTGTGGGCAGGGCTGCTTGTGTTGGGCGGGTCCCACACACCTGGCAGCCAATGACCTCATCACAGAAACCACCCCTGGGGCAGCACCCGGGAGAAGTTCAGCTGGCAAACCCACAGCCCTGAGTGGGCAGACTAGCCACCTCTAGGCCGGTGTAGCTGTGCGGCTGATCCCTGAGCCCCAAGTTAGAGACTCCCACAAACCTCCTGGCGGGGGGGGGGACAGTAAGCTCAACCATTGGGGGAAATCAGGAGTACAGATACAGATGAAGCCCGTCCCCCACCTGGCTGGCTCCCAGCCCAGACCTGCTCACTCACAGCTGCTCTCCTTTGAGGGCCAGAGGAAATACGTTCAAAATGCAGCAGGAAAGTCTGAGGTCAGACCAAAGGAAGGACTTCCTGGTGGCAAAGCTGGGGATAGGAGACAGGAAGTCCATCTTCCTGCTGCTACCAGAGGGTCTTCACCACAGGAAGAAGAGGACAGGGGTGCCGAGGGCTGCGTTGCACCCAGCCAAGGTCTGACTTCAGTCCCTCCATGGCCTGAGTTCAAGCCTTAGACAGGAGAAGCAGATCAAGGCTTCTTAATGAGGAAACCTTGCCAGCCACCACCAGAGCTCCACACTGGGGGGGGGGGGGACATGACACGGGACACGGGACATGGGTCTCAGTCTGACATCCCATCAGCTCATCCAGCCCTTTCCATACCCTGACTCTGAAGCCTGTCATAACCACATGGTTGCAGACTTTGCACACCTGTGCCCCCACTGTCCTGGAGGCCACAAGTCCAAGGTGTTCAGAACTGGGCTCTCTCAGGAGCTCCAGAAGCTTCTTCCTGCCTCTTCCAGGAAGTTTCAGGCATCCCTTGGCTTGTGGCCCCATCCCTCCCTTTTTACCACCTTGGTTCCTGGGCCTCCTCTTCACTACAGCGCACAAGCAAGGACTGAGCTCCTAGGCCAATGACTGAGCTCCACCTGTGTGCCCTGATCTGTGGAACTCCAGTTGCATGCAGGTATCAATCTGGTGAAGTTCCAGGCACATGGAAGACACCATGAATAAAAAGAGTCCCAACTCTCCGGAGGTGACATTCCAGCAAGTTGGCAAGATAACTCTACCCCACGTGCCTCCAGCCTCGGTCCTGTCCTAACCTCTCTGCCCTCTACAAGTTAATCTCTTATGGGGTCAGCTTCTGTCTCAGGGGATAGGATATTTGGAGGCTAAAATGATCTTGTACAGTCAGTACCCAGTGACTGTGCTAGCACACACACACACACACACACATACATGTGTGTGCACACGCACTTCTGCCTCCTGTGGGCCAGGCATACATGAACCCATGACCTCTGCCCTTAACAAGCTGGAAGCAGATGGAAACTCTCCAGAGCCGGAAAGGCCCCAAATATCCAGCCACAGCCATGGGGCCAGCAGACAGTGTCACCCGCCCAGGTCTCTTAAAGACTTGTCATGCTCACCCCTTCTGGACTGCCTGGGCCAGGCCACCAGCCAGCCTCCCCCTGACCCCTGATGGAGCCCGGCCACGGGCCTCTCCATGTTTAGGTCCTAATCTTTGTCACCATGTCCCCAGCCCAGCAACCACCAAAGCTCAGCTTGAGCCAGGCACTGGTGGCTCACCTGATATCCTTGTTCCTCAGAAAGCTGAGAGCTGAGACCTACAGTTCAAAGCTAGCTAGTCCATGAGACTCTTGGCCCCAATTCACCAGCAAAAAGCTGGAAGTGAAGGTGTGGCTCACGTGGTAGAATGCCTACCTTCCTTGAATGAAGAAACTCCTCTGGGACAATGCACAGACCCTGAGTTCAAGCCTCAGTACCAGCACAAAAAGACCAAAATTAGGGGAGGGCGGGCAGGGTGACACGTGCCTGGGTAAGGAGCAGAGATGGCTGCCCAAGTGCCACCGAGAGACTTGGGCAGCTTAAGAGATGCATTTCACAACCCCAGGGCAGGAGCCCAGCCTCTTGCTCAAGACTCCGGCATCCCAGGCAGAGGGAGCTGGGTTTGGGGAAGAGCTGTGTCAGACCTGCCTGACTCTGACACCGCTGTGTGATGTCAACAGGAGCCCGTGGGCTCTGGACCTCCACCTCCCTGTGTGCACAGTCAGGGTGGTAGCTAAGCTGCCGCCCTCGCCCTCGAGGCTTCATCCCTGGCAGACCTCCCCCCCCCCCCGCATCCCAGCCAGGCCCTGGCCCCAGCCACTTCTCAGGATGATGCTTTTCCCAGAGGGGCCTGGGCTGCAGGTGGCTTTGTGAGCCTCTTCCTGAAACCCCAGAGTGTTTGCTGAGTGATTAAGTTTTGGAACTGAGTCAAGCTGGGGCCTGTTCCTTGTCCACCTCCCAGGGAAGGACTCAGTCTCCATGTCACCCTAAGGTACAGAGAGAGAGAGGTACAGGGTGACGGTTCAGGAGTTCCTGCTCTGTCTGTCTTGGAGGTGTCTCTAGTCTGCATTCTCAGAGGGGCTTGGACAGGCTGGGGGGTGGGAGGTGGCCATACCCACACTCGCAGCCTTGAGTGACCCTTTTTTCCACCAGACCCTAGGACAATGTGGAGCCCAAGGGAGCAACTCTCTTGGCTCAAGGCACCATCTTGAGTCACCCCTGACTAAGCGGACCCGGGACGGCCAGGATCCTGGCGCAGGGCCCAGGGGGCTGGCCCAGAGGGGGGGGTCACTGGCCGCAGCCTCGAGGCTGCAGGGTGGGCCGTGCGTGGCAGGCCCCGCTCCCTCCGCACAGCCAGCGGGCGGCCCACGGGGTGGGGGGCGTGTCCGCCCGCGGGCCGGGCCTCCGTTTCCCGGTCTGCGGCCCCGGGGGCGGGCGCGGCGGCACTCACATGAGGTCGGGCCGGTGGCGGTGCAGGATGGCGCAGAAGGCCAGGCCGTCGCGGAACGACGTGGTCATGTTGGTGATGCTCACGTCCCGGTAGCCCTCGCACTGCTGCCGGCACCACTCCTGCAGGGCTTTGATGGCCGCCATGCGGGCGGCGGGACGGACGGGCTGCTCCCGACGGCCCTCGACGCCGGCCCGGCTCGGCCTGCCCGGACGGACGAACA